TAGTACCAAACTTGCTTAGTCCTGGGATCTGTATCCATGAAACAACTGAGCTGTTTTAGATGGCAATAAGCATTTCTTAAAGTAATAAAGTGGCTAAGGCCCAAGTAGTTTATCCTGATTATTGCCTCATAATGAAGCAGCGCAGTTAGTCTTATTATCACTAGCATGCTACAAATGTTATAGAGCTGGATAATGCACAATTCTAAATATATACAGGCTGACTGATTTTCGGGGCCTGTATTAAATTTGGGGTTTTAAAAACTCAGGTACAATATTGCAATAGATATTTTGGGGGCATCTTTGGGCTAAAAAAATCCTATGAACGTTTTTTTTATGTTCTTAAATGGTACAGTAGTCAGCGAGTAATAATGGGCATTGCCACAATCCAAACTATATAACCTTCCCTTACAGCTTTGGGGATGTAAAAAATATTTTGTAACTGCTGAAATGCCCTTAGTTGGTTGTGGTGTAGGACAAGGCCTCAAACCCCAATATAGCTTTGGTAAACCAAACTCAAGCTTTACAGTGTGTGATAGTTATAGTGTATGTAGATCATCAGAAACAGCTCCAAGTGGCTACATTAGCTGGACTTCAAGAGGTCTCACTTTCCTTCAGTCCTGTCTGGCAGAGCCTAAAAAAACTATTAGTTCCAGTCACTAATGCAAAAAGACTAATATCTTCATCATGTCTCCACCTCCATTACTAGATTACTTTTACAACCACCATGTAGCTCCGACCTTTCTGTAATTTTATCTCACTCCTTAAGGACTTCACTTAGATGTGAGAGTATTTGCAGCCAGCTAATTGTTACAGTCAGATGAGAGGTTTCCGGCAGTGAACTACCTTTTGTTGCCAGATAGGCAATTATGTGAAGAACTATAACAATTCTAACAAAGCCGTGTAAGTAATGGTTCACTGGTCCGCTGTAATTCATAAAAACCAATTAAAGGAATTATTTTAATAAGAATGTTCATTCCCAGACAGCTTGGGAGAGGTTTTGGAGGGCACCCTTATTTACTATACCCTTGAGACACACATGAAACATGAAACCTTAAACTCTGACCATGTCACTTCCAAGACAGAGCAGGCGGAAGTTTACCCAAGCTGCTGACCTCTACACACCCCAGAAATAAATCACTGTCATCTGACGGCTGTTGATACTGAAGCACTGAGAAGGCCTTCTAGTGTAGG